TATCGGGGTGCCTGGCTGGCTTATTTGGTAGAGCATGTGACTCTTAACCTTGGTGCATGAGTTCAAACCCCATACTGGGTATTGAACTTATCTAAAAAGAAAAGGCACTGTCATGAGAATTAAAAGACAAACCACATACTGGGAAAAAGTATTTGCAAAAGATGTATCTGATAAAGGACTATTATCTAAAATATACAAATAACTTAAAAATCAACAATAAGAAAACAAACCAATTTAAAAATGGGCATAAAGATCTTCATAGGCACCTCACCAAAGAAGATATATATTGATGGCAAATAAGCACATGAAAAGATGTTCCACATTGCACATCAGGGAAATACAAACTAAAACAGTAGCAAGATACCACCACACAATTATTAGAATGACCAAAATGCAAAACTCTGACACCACCAAGTGTTGGTCAAGATGTGGAACAGTAAGGGACGCCTGGGTGGCTCAGTTGGTTAAGTGGCTGCCTTCGGCTCAGGTCATGATCCCAGCATCCTGGGATCGAGTCCCACATCGGGCTCCTTGCTCAGCAGGGAGCCTGCTTCTCCCTCTGCCTCTGCCTGCCATTCTATCTGCCTGTGCTCACTCTTGCTCTCTCTCTCTGACAAATAAATAAAATCTTAAAAAAAAAAAAAAAGATGTGGAACAATAAGAACTCTCATTCATTGCTGGTGAGAATGCAAAATGATACAGCCACTTTGGAAGAGTTTGTGAATTCTTACAAAACTAAACCTAGTCTTTTTTTTTTTTTTAAGATTTTTTATTTATTCATTTGACAGAGGGAGCACAAGCAGGGGGAGCAGTGGGCAGAGGGAGAGGGAGAAGCAGGCTCTCCATTAAGCAAGGAGCATGATGCGGGGCTCGATCCCAGGACTCTGGGACTGTGACCTGAGCTGAAGGCGGACACCTAACCGACTGAGCTACCCAGGCACCCCAAACTAAAGCTACTCTTATCACATGATCCAGTAATTCCTTTCCTGGTATTTACCCAAAGGAATTAAAAACTTATGGCCACACAAAAACCTGCACACAAATGTTTTCAACAGCTTTGTCATAATTGCCAAAACTTGTGAGCAACCATGATATACTTCAGCAGGTAAATGGGTAAACACAGTGTAGTACATCCAGACAATGGAATATTACTCAGTGCTAAAAAGAAATGAGCTTTGAAGCCATAAAAAGACATGGAGGAAACTTAAATGCTTATTACTGTGTGAAAGAAGCCCATCTGAAAAGACCATAAACTGCATGATTTCAACTCTGTGACATTTTAGACAAGAGAAGGGTGTGGAAACAGTCAAAAGATGAGTGGTTGCTAAGGGCTTGAGAGGGAAGGATAAATAGGTAGAGCAGGAAGGACGTACAGAGCAGTGAATCTACTCTGAGTGATACTATAGTTGTGGATACATAGCACTATGAATTTGTCCAGATCCCTGGAATGTACAGCACCAAGAGTGAACCGTAACGTTGGACGCCTGGGTGGCTCAGTGGGTTAAGGCCTCTGCCTTCGGCTCAGGTCGTGATCCCTGGGTCCTGGGATCGAGCCCCACGTCGGTCTCTCTGCTCAGCAGGGAGCCTGCTTCCTCCTCTCTCTCTGCCTGCTTCTCTGCCTACCTGTGATCTCTGTCAAATAAATAAGTAAAATCTTTAAAAAATAAAAAAAAAAAAAAGAGTGACCCGTAACGTAAACCCTGTGCTCTGGCTGGTAATGATGTGTCCGTGCCTGCTGTGGTATGAAGAATGTTGATAATGGGAGGGGCTAGACATGGTGGGGGCAGGAAGTTTACGAGAAATCTCTGAACTTTCTGCTCAATTTTACTACCTAAATTTTAGAACCTAAAGCTGCTCTAAAAAATGAGGTCTATTTAAAAAGATGCAGATGGGTTAATAGAGTTTATATTAGAAAGAGGAAGCAGTTTTCACCCTATTGAGTCTATTCCTGTTTGAAATTAAGATTTGATGATCAACTGAGTGTGAGAGGGAGATGCATGTAGGTGAGGAGAAATGAGGAAGTGTGAAATGGCTTCTCAGAGACTGCTAAGTTGAAGTTGCTAAGAAGTCATAGTGGTAAACTTCGCAAAAGAAGAATGCCAACGTGGGGGTACATGACTGGCTCAGTCGGAAGCATGTCCAGCTCTGGATGTCACGAATTCAAGCCGATGTTGGGTGTAGAAATTATTTAAATAACAAAACTTAAAAAAAAGAAGAGAATGAATTTGAGAATTCTGGCCATAGATAGGATGTGAATCTTAACATTATTTTGTAATTTTTCTATAACAGTACTTTCACCAAACAGAAGCAGGTGGGATGTCTTTTACCTATATTGTGGTCTTGAAATACCATTTTCTACTAAAAGAAACCAGGACTTTTTAGAGAAATGGCTCATTTCAGGCCTGAGGCAGACATTTTCAAGACAGCAAGGAACATCTTGTCATAACAGAACAAGGAAGCTGTCAAAAACTATCATCATCCAGTGCCCCGTGACTCAGTCGGTTAAGCGTCTGACTCTTGATCTCAGCTCACGTCTTAATCTCAGGGTCATGAGTTCAAGCACTGAATTGGGCAAACCAACTAATTATAGTCACATCAAAAGGACTCTGAGGCCAACATGAGTCTTCCACTGGTTAAGTATGGGACAATTTGGTATCAATAAAGAAAATAACTACAGTGGATTAAAACATATCAGATATGTTTAAATCCATGAGTTCATATTGATCCAAAACATAGATACACATAACACATACACAACACACGCATGCATTTAGACACACACACACACACACATACACACACACACACACTTTAGTGGAAGCTCTTGAAGGAGTCTAGCAAATGAGCTCTTTTTTTTTGAGATTTATTTATTTTAGAGAGAGAGAAAGAGAGCATTTGAGCAGGGGGGAGGGGCAGAGGAAGATGGAGAGAGAGAGAATTTCAAGCAGACTCCCTGCTGAGTGTGGAGCCCCATTTGGGTCCCAGTCTCACCACTTGAGGTCATGACTTGAGCCGAAGTCAAGAGTCAAGAGTCAGATGGTTAACCAACTGAGCCACCCAGGTGCCCGGCAAGTGAGCTCTTTATTTCAAAAACTGACAAGTAAAGAGAAAGAATCCAGCATTTGTATCAGCTTTATCATTGGGTAACCAGACAATAGGTATGGTGAAATTTCTCCTTAAATAAGAATTTCAGCAAGTAAATTAGGAATAAGTGACAGAATATTCCATTTTGTAACCCTAATGAACTAAGGAATTTAGATATTAAGCATTGCCAGTGTTAAAATCACATAAAGGACTACAAGATACTGTAACTGAACCAATGTGAGTTCCCTCCTTGTTGAATCAGAAATAGCACCCTGTTGAGTTGACACACAAAGTAATTTTTTTTTGTGGCAAATAAGGAGATCACCCGGAATAGCTAACAAAGCCATGACTACCCGAGCAAGGGTGAATGCGTGCCTTTAATTTTGGGGTGGGGTGAATATTTAGATAGGGAAGCTTTGTCTTTGAAGTAGAGGCAGGCAGAAGGTGGCGTATGTGCCATTAAGGAAACAGGCCTATACACACATTGTATGTTGTGTAAATGAGGCTCGGCTGGTGCCCCTCCTTCGGTAGAGATTTTAGTATGATAACCAGATAAAGATAGTTGTTGATCATTGTAGAACTCACTGCATGGTCCATCTGTGCAGATGCAAGTCAGGGGTTAAATTCAAGGCTGATCTGGCTGGTCTGGGCCAGTTTTGCCAGGCCAGTTGCTATGGCCTAAGAGATGGTTTTGCTTCCATAAGAGAGAAGGTGGAAAGAGGAGCTTTAGGAATAATGTGGAACAGAGGTTGGTGAGCACAAGCAGGTGGACAATAAAGATCAGGTCTTGGGGTCTAGCTAGTGACAGTACTATACATCTTCTGATAACACCAGACCATGAGGTATCTTGTTAAAAAATGGATATGAATCTGATTAAGCTTTTAGATTCAATTACCAATTTCTCAAGAAGTAGGGAAGAAAGATTAATCTGTTAATCTATACCATAGGAATGTAATCAGCAAAATCCAGATTATGGGAAGCTTTAGAAGACAAATTGTAGTGTCTAGGGATGGCTTATCATTTGGATGCTAGAACTATAAATTAAATGATGCCATAAAAGTCAGGACAGTTGTTACTCTTAAGAGGGAGAGGTTTTGATTGGGAGAAACACGTGGAGGGCTTCTGGAATACTGACAAGAGTGTCTGCTTAAATGGGTATTACATACAAGGGTGCTCGCCTTCTAAAAATTCATGTTGGTTGTGTGTGGTTCTCTGTATTTGAGTTACATTTAGCAATAGTAAATAGTAAAGTAAAAGTTTTAAATGAGATTAAGACATTAAATTTATTTCTCAGTTGAATTTTTAGTTCATAGTTAGACTTTTCCTAGGGAATGGGGGACAGGAGAGGAGCACTATTAAAGACTTCAGTTGAGTCCAAATGACAGAGTTGCAGAGAGCAACTAAGACTGCAAATTAAAGAATTATAACTTGGATGATTGAACTTAAAAAAAATCAAGTATGTTTCACACAAAAAGACTGCTGTCACTTAAAGCCATTTCTAATACAGGCTTTTCTTTTCACATTGTGAATACCCAGTAAGTGGAGTATATGAACCTGTTTACACATACTTTATGTTTTCTAGGTGCTTTTACATATATTATTTAATAACAAACTAAGTGAATCTATGAGTGGAATTCATGATGCTACTTAAATTCTCTGTATATAAAAGAGCGAATACTTCTTTAATTACGAAATGTTTAAGAATATGTAATGTAAGAATGAATTTATTATAGATGTCAATATATTGTTTAAAGTAATTTCTCCCTTATTTATAAGATCCCTAGCTTTTATTTAAGGGAGTAATTTTCACTAGTTTGATAAAAATGGAGGTGTATTAAACTGATTTGGAAAAAAATTTTTAAAGTTCATGATATTTTGGCAAGTCTGAAGTAAATTAAAACTCTTTTTTCTGCCAGAGGTCTCTTCATTAGTATCCATGATCGAGGGCATATTGCTTCAGTTCTTAATGCATGGCCAGAAGACGTCATCAAGGTGAGTCATCTAATTTTTCCACTGTGGCAAATTTGTTCTTTTACCTATTCCATAACATATTAATAATTTTCATGATATTAGATAGCATTTGACATGGAAATGTTGGGGTTTGGAGCCGACAGCCAAGAAAGAATTCTTGAGACATTCCCAGTGTGAAAAGGTGGTTTTATTAAGGCACGGGAACAGGACCAGCACAAAGGACTGCTGTGGGATTCTGAGGAGCAATTGATGATATACTATGGAGTTGGGGGAGGTAAAGACAAGGGAAGTTTCTTAAAGGATTTTCATATTGCTAAAGAAGACTCGCAGGATCCTGGAGCCCTGGCTCTCCTCAGGCTAAGGTGGTGTTTTCCTCTAGTAAGGCATTAACATTAGGATTGGGAGTCCCTGGAGAAATGTCATACTCTGCCTGCCTCAGGTATTTGTCAGTGGGCTGCAGGTTATACAGACCTTTAATTTGATCTGCATTTCCTTTTTGCCTTTGTTCTTCACATCAGCATTCACTGTCTTTTCTACTGAATGTCACCTAATTTATTATCTCTTCAATTTTTGCATACTGGATTAATTTTATTTTGGTACCGATTAAAGACTAAGTTTCCCTATTATTTCTGATTTCTTAGCATTTCTTGCTCCATTGATGATAAATGTTGAAGTTGCCTGTGAATTTCTTGAAGCAAAGTCCCTTTTCACATTTGTTGGCTTTAATCATCTGCTAAGAGGAACACAGACCAAAAAAAAAAAAAAAAAATCCATTCATTCACTTCCTTTATCATTATGGCCTTCAGTTGTTCATCTGACTTCCTTCTCTGAAAATAAAACAAGAGTAGTATCCAACATTTAGTAGCTTTCTGTGTGAGACCCTACATGCATTAACTCTTGTAATTATCATAATTCAGTGAGGAAGGGAAGGGGGGATGGCCTATACTATAGTGTCTGGTGGTGGTGGAAACTGAACACAGGCCACAGAGCCCTTGCTCTTAGACATGGTCTCTATGGCCTTCCTTGTCAAAGGAAAGTGAGATGTACTTGTCCCTTTCCTGGCTCTTTTTTTTTTTTTTTTTTTTTAATTAACTTTCTGTTAGGTGTCAAACAACTTTGAGCAACTTTGTGCTGTTGAAGTAGGCAAGCCATTAGGGTTCAAAGCCGACAGCAAAGACAGAACTCTTCACACGTCTTTGGTGCAAAAAGATGATTTTATTAAAGCATGGGGACAGGACCCGTGGGCAGAAAGAGCTGTACCACAGTCATGAGGAGTGGCCCATTAGATACTTTCAAGTTGGAGGGGGGTGGTCAGGGAGAGTGTAAGTGTCTAAGGAATTTTGGAAGCAAGGTTTCCTGGACCTTGAGGGGGCTAGCAATTGTTGGAAAAAGGACATTTATTACCGTCTAATAAAACCTTAGTCATGAGACCCTTCAGATGTATATCACTGGGTCACATGCTTGGAGGATGATTACCAGCATGTGTCTTGGAGGGATTTAGAGATGAAGTTTCCAGAGGAATTTTGATATGTTAAAGTACACTTACAGGATCCCGATGGTGGGTGGGTTGGGGTGGGGGGGATTGGCGTGGCTGGGATTGGCGTGGCTGGAGGACGGGTGTCGGACTAGGATTGCCTTTTGCCCTCAGCCAAGTATTAACATCTAGGCTGTTGAGTCCCTAGAGGAATGTCACTCTGCCTATTTCAAGGACCTTTCAATGGCTGTAAGTAGTAAGGAAATTTAATAATTTTTCTTCTGCCTTGGTTTCCTACATCACTGTGTTTTACGAGTAGGGTTGAACAAGCTGATGACTACAGAGGCATTTTAGCTGTGACTCCCAAAGCATCGCTCCCATTCTTTTGAGCTAGTGGCTAGTATTGTCGTGGCTAGTATTGATGTACTCTGCTCTGTAAGGCTTATGCCAGGCTAACTTGTAAAGCCAGATGTTTTTCATGATTTCTAATCTTCCCAGTTGTTTCACTTTTCTTACCAAAGTTGCTTCCTCAGCTTTTCTCCCAGGTAGACTGCATTAGCCTTGGGTCCTGTCCTCAGAAACTCCCCCACAGTGAGTTAATTCTGTGTAGTATAAGATGTCTAAGAAGATGCTTACATTTTGACTGGAATCTAGAGAGGATTTTTAAGAATGAGTCAGTATCGGGACTAATTAATAACCACATCATCATGATAGCCAGACAATACACAGTCACCTTGTTTTGTGCTCTTCCTGCTAGCTCATCTCTGAATATTAGTCTTTGTTAGTAGCCTACCTTTATTCTTTCAACTCTTAATGTTGGTCTCTCACTGTTATTCCTGATCCTAACTATACTTACTATTATTATTTTAAAAGCCTAGCATAGTATCTGGCACATAATAGGCACTTAATGGCAGCTGTTTCTTGTAATAGAACACTGAAGAATAAGATGTGGTCTCTACTGTAGTTGAAAGCACACATGAAACAAAGGCAATCTATTAGATAATATATAATTAAACTGGTATAAATTATAAATGCTGTATTCGTTCAGAGAAGATGATCATTCAGAGAAGGCTAAAATGGTTAAATTTTTATATCAAAATTGGAACTTAAATTTAGTCATTGATAATTAGAATGGGAAGAAGATACTATCCGAAGAAGGGCACAGATGAATGTAAGTCCTAGTTCAGGAAGAGAATGGTATGTGTTTGTGCAGTAAGTGAATAAATTGGCTGGTCTGACTAACACCAAGTGTAACTATGGAAATGTAATGGCATTAAGATGGCTTAAGTAAGAGGTGACCAAATTATTTTTTTTTAAAGATTTTATTTATTTATTTATTTGATACATAGAGAGAGAGATCACAAGTAGGCAGAGAGGCAGGAAGAGAGAGAGGAGGAAACAGGCTCCCCGCTGAGCAGAGAGCCCGACGTGGGGCTCGATCCCAGGATCCTAAGACCATGACCCGAGCTGAAGGCAGAGACCTAACCCACTGAGCCACCCAGGTGCCCCAAGAGGTGACCAAATTCTTATAAAAGGTCTTGAAGTTCATAAAGAGGGATTTAGACTTGAAGTAATAGAATGTCCTATTTCCAGATGCGAATGACTTTATGTAGGTAATACTTGAGGAAGTCTCATCAGTCCGAGGAGAAGAGGCAAGAGTTGTGCATCCAAGTGTAGGCCACAGCAGAAAGGCCCTGGGGAAGGAAAAGAAGGCATGAAGACAGGACACACGGTGAGGGTGTCTGTGTGCATTCAGGAGAACCCCTGCCTACTCATGCAGAGTTACTAGTGAGCTAATGCCCAGGTAATAATTGATGCAGTAGGAGGAAGATGGAATTTCTGAAATGCAGACATCATTGAGAGAATTATGATCGTCTTACTGAGATAATCCTCCTATTGTAACTTCATTATTGTGTAGAAGATATGCAAATGCTTGATTTTCCTTAAGTGGGATATGAAGTAGGTAAAAACAAAAGCCAAGGGAATGACAATTTAATGATAAACTGTGTAGATGACACATTTTTTATTTTCCAGAAGATTCCTTCACTATTAAAATCTATACTTTAGTGTTGAAATGTTTATGAATTAATGTTACAAATGTGCATTTGTAACAAGGCATAAGTAGATCAAATAGCAAATGCCTCAAAACAGAGTTTAAAAATTACTCAGGGGCACCTGGGTGGCTAGTTGGTTGAGCGTCCGACTCAATTTCTGCTCAGGTGATCCTGAGATGGAGCCTCATGTCGGGCTCCTTGGTGGTCGTGGAGCCTGTTTGGGATTCTCTTTCTCCTCTCTCTCTGCCCCTCCCCTCCTCATGCTCTCTTTCTCAAATAAATGAGCAAATCTTTAGAAAAAATTACTCAACTAACACCTATCTAAATGTCCATGGCATATTTATGTAATAAAATTAATAGCTTAGGATGAGAGGAGAGCTTAAGGAATAAAATTTATGAAGAAAAGAAAAATAACATTTTCCCTTGACTTTATATACAAGACATAGACTATTTTAACTTAGATGTGTTATCAAAAATAAGTGAAAATATTATGTTATTTGCAACCCCTTTTTTAAAAATGTTGAAACGGATGAAACTCACAAGTAGCAACTCCCTGGGTCTAAATATCTTTAATGAACCTGAAAAACATTACATAAATTACTACTCAGATCATGCCTAAGTTATATGACAATGTTGCTATCCTTATAAAATATCTTTTAAAATATTTTAAAAATATTTGCAGACCAACTAGACTTTACCTTTTTAAAGGATACATACATAAAGTATACAGTATCAGTAATAGATAGAAGTACCTCTGTGACAGTGTTATAAATAAATGTCAAAAATGTATTTGGAGTAGCTAGCCTTTGAAAAATTAGTTTTAGGGGGCACCTGGGTGGCTCAGTGGGTTAAAGCCTCTGCCTTCGGCTCAGGTCGTGATCCTAGGGTCCTGGGATCGAGCCCCACATCAGGCTTTCTGCTTGGCGGGGAGCCTGCTTCTCCCTCTCTCTTCCCACCTGCCTCTCTACCTACTTGTAATCCCTGTCCGTCAAATAAATAAATAAAATCTTTAAAGAAAAAAAAAGAAAATTTAGTTTTAGTTTAAAAAGCGAGGTTACAGGGCGCCTAGGTGGCTCAGTGGGTTGGGCCGCTGCCTTCGGCTCAGGTCATGGTCTCAGGGTCCTGGGATCGAGTCCCGCATCGGGCTCTCTGCTCAGCAGAGAGCCTGTTTCCCTCTCTCTCTCTCTCTGCCTGCCTCTCCGTCTACTTGTGATCTCTCTCTGTCAAATAAATAAATAAAATCCTTAAAAAAAAAAAAAGCAAGGTTACAGTTTTCTGTAGTATTTATCTTTTTTATCTTAAATCAGAGCCAACTAAACCAGTGGTATCAAGTCGCCTTCTTCAAAACAGCATAACCTATTGATCCTTTGCAATTAGACATGGAAAATTTGATACAGGCCAGGTTTATGGGATATGCAAAAATAATTTTTGCCTACTTCACAAATGTATTTATTTATTTTTTTTTTATATTTTTTTTAATTTTTTTTTTTAATTTTATTTTTTATAAACATATATATTTTTTTCCCCAGGGGTACAGGTCTGTGAATCGCCAGGTTTACACACTTCCCCACACTCATCGTAGCACATACCCTCCCCAATGTCCATAATAACCCCATCCCCCCAAATGTATTTATTTTTAAGGTAGTTCTTTAAGAGCTGCATAATATAGGTGAACAGAAAATTAAAAGATCTCAAAAGTATATTTTAAAATATGTTCTGCACTGTGGCATAGTGGAAAAACATTGTATGAGGAGTTTGTGTATACAGTTTCCCATTCTTTGGTATTAACCAGGTCGCCTTAGACGATTTCAGTTCTCTAATCTTCAGTTTCCTAATCTATAAAATAAGAGGGATGGACTGAATATACTCTAAATTTCCCTTCTAAAATACCATGACTCTGCATAATCCTCTTGATGGTAATAGTAGTCTTGATAGCTACAATTTGTTGAGAATTTGTAATGTACCAGGTATTATGTACTTTGTATATCATATTCCTCATTTTATTGAACCATAGATTTATGCAACTAACTAATGTTTATTCATTGTTTACTATGTTCCAAATGCTATGCATGGTGTTGGTGCACAGTAGTGAATAAAATAGAGTTGGTTCCTATTTTTATGCTGCTCTTCTGAAAAGTACCTTTATTATTCCTATTTTACAAATAAGGAAAAGAAGATTTAATTCATCTGTTTATTTAAGGTCAAATGACTGACATTTTCCCAAGGCTTTATGGAAAAGATGAGTGTAGGAGTTTTGGAAAAATCTAATAAATTGTGTTTCACAAGATTGGTTTGGCTTAAATTCATATAATGGCCATGAATCACAGAACAAGGATGTTAAATGCGTTAATTCACTCAGATATAAAATAAAATAGAAATAAAATCTCCCCATAATTAAAATGAATGGCTCATAGATATTCAGGGTGATTGGAAAGAACCTAAACAAAATTCATTTAAGCCTAGTGGAAGATTATCAGGTAAGAGAAGTAGCAGACTGTACTTCATAAATTTCAAAAATGGTAGACAATATCTAGTGGTTACAGGAGTTAAAGAGGATGGATCAACATTGTTGTGAAAATAGGAGGATGGTGCCAAGATGCGTAAACATCAGAGCACTTGGGAGCTACTTAGCAATTATGCATTTTTTAATTAGGGTGCTCCCAGAATTATGCTCGAGGTAGATGGGACTGGTTCCTCTTTAGTTCCCACTTTGAGGTCCTATTTCCTTGTACTCTTCCCACTTGCCACTATGTTATTTGAATCTTTATGTGCATACCATCTCTTCTTTCTTCACTGACTAAAGTAATCATATATATGTATTTTTTTTAAAAAAAGATTTAAAAATATGTATCAACTTTATTTCTTCTCTCCACTCTTCCACAGTTAAGATCATATGAAATCTCTTAGATGTATATTCAATCTATGTTTTTTGACAGCTTAATATTTTATTACATAAGTGTTAATTTCAGAAGCAGAGGCAAGGGACTGTGCCCCTGGATTGGTAAACATCTTTTAATGGATGCTTTTTCTTTCTCTTCTAGGCCATCGTGGTGACTGATGGAGAGCGTATTCTTGGCTTGGGAGACCTTGGCTGTAATGGGATGGGCATCCCTGTGGGCAAGCTGGCACTGTATACAGCCTGCGGAGGGATGAATCCTCAAGAATGTCTGCCTGTTACTCTGGATGTGGGAACAGAAAATGAGGTAAACAATTTAAGTCTGTAAGACAGCTGGACACCTTAAAAAATAGCACCAGCTCTTGTATTTTGAGCTTGTTTTCCAGGAACTTCATGACATTCATTCTTTTCTGTCTGGTTCCTTCCTCCCTCCTCAAACGCATTCCCCAAATATTATAAGAAAATTATTCTTTCTCTTCCTTTTTTTCTCTTTCTCTATAGTGTGATCAGTCTTTCACCAGCTTGTTTAGTGTTTTATCCTTTGAAAAATATTCACACCATTATTCTATAGAGTGTATGTTTTACTTTAGGAGATCGTAGTTTCTTTTTAAAAATTATTGTTTTGGTACTACGTAGGAATTAATCCCCAAGGACTTGCTAAATTTAATCAGTATGAAATCTTGTTCTAATAAACCTGTGACAAATGATTTGGAATTTATTTTTATTTTTTATTTATTTTTAAAGTTTGTTTATTTTATAGAGAGCATCAGGGGAGGGGCAAAGAGAGAGGGAGACAAGCAGACTCCATGCTTAGCAGGGAGCCTGATGCAGGACTCAATCCCAGGACCCTGGGATTATAACCTGAGCCCAAATCAAGAGTTGGATGCCTAACTGACTAAGCCCCCCATGTGCCCCTTGATGATTTGGAATTTATGGTTTCTCATTCCTGCATCAGTATTTTAGAATCTTAAAGTTGTATATCAGTACATATTTTTGATCATTCTTTATTGCTAATATTTGGGTTCAATTAATGGTGTTAAACCCTAGAAATTAAAGGTAGAATATGTACAGATTTTATAGTCATTTTCTGTGTTCCCCTCTAAAGCAGTTGACCCATTAATAGTATAATATTAACTTGAACATTTTTTATATTCATTAATAGAGAAAGTTATAATATTTAACTTCCTATATATGTGAGTGCTTATTTACCTTTATAAAGGAAACATTTTATAAAAGCACACTGCTTATCTGATATTTTCCTTTTCGATACTAATAGAAATGACTTAAAAATGATCAAAGCTGACCTTTTAGAACAATCATCCTAAAATTATATATATACATAGAACTTTGGATTTTCTTTTTATTTCTTCATTTATTTAAAAAATATTCTGTGGTAAATAACAGTGACAGCAAATAAAGTCTAAAATTACGAAATCTGGGGACACCTGGGTAGCTCAGCCACTTAAGTGTCTGCCTTCGGCTCCGGTCATGATCGTGGAGTCCCAGGATGGAGCCTGACATTGGGCTCCCTCCTAGTGGAGAGTCTGCTTCTCCCTCTCCCTCTGCCGCTCTCCCCACTTGTGTTCTCTCTCACACTCTTGCTCTCTCAAATAAATAAATAAATAAAATCTTAAAATTACAAAATATTTAGAATATCTTAGGAATTCCAGGGGAAGATGAAGAGGAGTAAGGAGTGATGAGAAAGGCATGTAAAAATGTAAGAATTCACTTTTAAATTTGGGTTTTTGTTTTGTTTTTTTGAAAAGATTTTATTTTTTTTTAACACCTTTTTTTTTTTTTAAAGATTTTATTTATTTATTTGACAGAGAGATCACAAGCAGGCAGAGAGGCAGGCAGAGAGAGAGGAGGAAGCAGGCTCCCTGCTGAGCAGAGAGCCCAATGCGGGGCTTGATCCCAGAATTCTGAGATCATGACCTGAGCCGAAGGCAGCGGCTTAACCCACTGAGCCACCCAGGCGCCCCTGAAAAGATTTTATTATTTTTTAAAGTAATCTCCACACCCAGTGTGGGGTTGAAACCACGACCCTGAAATAAAGAGTCACTTGCTCCACTGACTAAGCCAGCCAGGCACCCCTAAACTTGGGTCTTTTATTGAGATGTTGTCAGTGTAATGTGGACATGAAGTTATACACTAAAGATTAAGCCATAACACTAGGACTCTTGCACTGACAGATTGTATTAGTTATATGAAATACTTTATTTCATGGAAAGGGGTCTTAAAATTGTCAGATTGGTCAGTTGTCTTGAGTTTTTTCACATTAGCTCCTAGTATTCCTAATATCCCTTTCCTCTTTTGGCATCCAGTGCTTTTTATGTTACTCCATTTCTGCCCAGCGTCCTGCCCCCTCAGCCTACTGAATCCATATCCACGATCAAGGTGTCAAAGGGATTAATTTTTTCTAAGGTCTCTCTCCTTGGCTTTTCTTCCTCTGGTTTTCCTTCAGTGTCTTCATACGGTCTTTCCTCTGTTTGTAGTTTTTTCTTATAAGAACACTAGTTGCATTGGATTAGGACCTGCCCTTATGACCTCATTTAACTTAATTGCCTCTTTAAAGACTGTTTCCAAATACAGTCATATTCTGAGGTTTTGGGAGTTAGGACTTCAACATATGACTTTGGTGAGGACACAGTTTGGGCCATAACATTTGGTTAGTCCTCAAGAGGGCATGGACAGTTGTTTTTGCATAGTTATTCTTCATTTATTAAATCAATGTTCCAGGTCTCAGATTCTGATTCTGGTTTTATGTTTAGTCTGACCTTTAGTTCATGTACACAAGTGTTTCTAGATCTAGAATCCTTGCTGGAACTTGAACTCACAAAGTTGAAGCCTCCTACCATTTAGAAAGTTCACTCTTGTGTTCCAGAAAATACCCTTTATATTTGGCATGAACTGGCTATGATGGAGAGAAACTGAAGAAAAGAAAAACCTGATAGACTTTCTGTCACATGTAGCTGCCATATGTCAGAGACTAGTGTTGACACTAAAATGTGGCCCGTGTGAGTTTTCTATTGCTACCATAAAAAGTTATTACAAACTCAGTGGCTTTAAACAACCCAAATATATTGCATTATAGTTCTATAGGTCACAAGTCTGACACAAGTCTCAAACGGCTAAAATCATGAAAGGTGTCCATAGGGTTGTGTTTCACAGACTGTCTTTTCCAGCTTCTAGAGACTGCCTCCTCCGTTCCTTGGTTCATAGTGCTCTTTTTTCCATTTTCAAGCCAGCAGTGTAGTATCTTTCTGGCTCTATTTCTGTCGTCACAGCTCTTTCTTTGAGTACAGCCAGGAAAGACTTTTCCCTCTCAAGGACTCACCCTTAATCACATCTGCAGGCTCTTTTGCTGCATAAGGTAACATATTTACAGGTTAAAAGGATGGGGGAAGTCATTATTCTGCTTACCTTGGAGTCCCAGCTAAAATGTCATCATTTGTCCCTCCACCTCCTTCTTTTCTGTCTTTTTCCTTTCACAGTATGGAATTTCTTGTCATTGCAGACAAGTGATCCTGCACTGGAATGAGCAGTAATCATTTCATAAAGCCAGAGGAGAGAAGATTCCTTAGTTTCCAGCCTTTCAGCTTATAGTGTCGTGTGCTTTTTCTTCGTTGTCTATTTTTATCTCACCTTCTTTAAATTAGGTGGTAATGGATCCTATCAAGAATTTCTTTGTTTTTTGAGATACTACACCAATGCTTTGGGAATGAGATGGGGTCTTTCTTCAGTTTGGCTTTATATACACTGAAACTATCCAGAAGTCCTTGAAATTTGTGGTATATTTTAGGAATACCCATTATATAAACTAAAATAGACAAGATATTTACCTGAGGCAGGAACCTTTTGGGAAGTAGAATACTTTTATTTTAACTTAATAATATACATTTGAAATTACTCATTCTCAATATATGTTCTATGAACCAATCACTTCAGAATCACCAGGGGCATGTGTTAAGAATACCAAATCCTGGGCCCTGCTCCAGACTTACTGAAACACAGTCAAATTTTAATCATTTTTATTTCTACCACTTTTTAACATTCATGCTAGCTCATATGCTTGCTGACATTTAAAGTGTTGATTTTATGCAATATTTAAAATTTTATGCCTCAGACTCTTGGCTAAATGTTGGCAGTTAGTTTCCTTTTATTTATTTATTTATTTGAGAGAAAAAGACAGAGGGAGAGAGAGAGAATGGAAGGGAGAGAGAGTCTGAGGCATACTCCACACTGAGCACAGAGCCTGACACAGGACTCAGTCTCATGACTGTAAGATCATGATCTTAGCTGAAACCAAGAGTCAGATGCTTAACCACCACCCAAGCAGTTAGTTTCCTTAATTGTATTGATGATATGAGCCAGTAAAACAGCCAAAATTGTATATTCTTTACAGAACCTGATTTTTTAAAAAAGATTTTATTTATTTATTTGAGCCCAATACGGGGCTCAATCCCAGGACCCTGGGATCATGACCTGAGCCAAAGGCAGAGGCTTAACCCATTGAGCCACCCAGGCGCCCCTCAGAACCTGATATTTTCATTTGAAAATGAGTAAATGGCAACAAAGAAGATGATCATCTATATATTATAAATAAAATTTTAAAGTAAATGCTGAAGTAGGGAATATTCATAACATTATGGCAGATAAACATTAATAATGTTCTTAACATTCAGAAAACACTTTCAAGGCAGTAAGAAAAGTCAAATGTGAAATATAAAATTGCCTAAGGGCGTAAGGGCGCAGATAATTTACAAATGAAGAAATAAAAATGGTCAATAAACATAAAAAATATCCAAAAGTGTTAAAAAAGAAATACAGGTGAATGCTGCTTGACATTTTGTATATGAAAATATATGTATTTATTTTTATATATCTAACATTTGCATATTATATATTTATGTGTATATTTCATATACATCTACACGTATATATGGAAAAATACTTTTACTTGATGTTGCAACAAAATAGATACACAGACGTTTCCTGACATGACGGTTTGACTTCTGATTTTTGGACTTGACAGAGGTGCCAAAACAATATGCATTCAGTGGAAACCATACTTCAGATTTTGAATTTTGATCTTTTTTCAGGCTGTGGTATGTGGTATGATCTCACTCGTGATGCTGGTTAAAGGCAACAAGTTCCTGGTCAGCCATGTGGTCAGGAGGTTAAACAGCCACTACACTTACAACCATTCTGTATCCAGACAACCATCCTGTTTTTCAGTATACTAGTCAAGAAATTACATGAGATACCAGCGTGTTATTATAAAATAGGCTTTTTGTCGATGATTGT